GATTTTGGAAGAAACCATGTTCAGATGGGAAAACTAGAAATCCCTCTCCGTATCGACACTGCAGCTATTTGCTGTGGGTGAATCTTCATCGGCGTAGACAGAGCGTCTCCATAGCACAAAATGAGATTATTTAATGTTATTTTCACACCATTTTAGTTAAATCTAATTAATGCTTGCGTATTTTCTGTAACATTGGTGTGTATGTGGAGTATACTCTATATCTTTAAGTTACAACAGCATTGATTTTCACATCTACAAACAATTTGGGAACTTGGTTGGAACAAATTGTGCGTTGAAAGCTAATTTTGGAGCATTATTTGATTGAAGCACAGTATCTTATATGTTCAGCTGAAGTACAAGGACAGTTACAAGGATATTTAAAAAATAGCATGATGGCGCTATAATGCCTCGATTCAACTGAGCGGTACGGCGTGGGTTATATTTCGGTACGCTATTTTGTCTGTTTCTCTTGTAAAAGCAGAAACTAGTTGCTGCAGTATGTCGCTGCATCAAGTGTTTGGGTTCAACCCCGCCTATGAAGTGAGAGTCCATTTCAGCCTTTCTGGGGCCCAACGAAAGCCAGTTCCCTCTAACCAGATAATTACTCAGCTGGATTTCCTGACCAGTGACCACGAAAGAAAAACTTTCTAACTAGACTTTCAGACAGTATAGGGTAGCATCTAGTAGCTTTGACGGCAACATAGTCCCAATATAATAGTTTTTGTGCAGGTAAAATCACTCATAATATGGAATATTTTGCACATAACAAAACTTGAGTACTCCTGAATGAAACACTTTTGAATCGTGTCCAGGGATTCAGACAGTTGCGAATGCTTTCTTTTCTAAATGTTTTCTAACCCAACCTTAAGGAAACACATGTGGGGAAGAAAAAAAAAAAAAAAAGAAAAAAAAACATATTTAATGACTCAACCAGAGTTTAAGCTGAGAACAGCCGTGCTCTCCCTGTCCACTCACTGCTAAACTATTAAAACTCTTAGCCAAGAAGGCCTTTAGGTTAAATGTGTTGGCAACGATGTTTTTATGAAGTGTGAAGTGAAAAGGTGAAGGCTTTTAAACGTTTCTCTTTTCATAATAATAATAATAAATAAATACTCCAACAAGGAAGGAAATGCATGGGGAAAAAAATAAATGAAGTAAAGCAAAACAAATGTGGATCACTGTCTCTGTTGGGTGCTACATTTAATCAGTCACAAGCTTTTAAGGCATCTTGTTGGCTTCCTTTCTAATAAATGAACTGTGGAGTGTTTAAAGCAGCTGTCAGGGGGCTAAATGCAGATCCACTTCATCAAACCGGGATGACAGAGCACCGAGTCATCTGTCAGACTGGTTAATCTGGTCCTGTCTGCTCAGTAGAATAATCATTGTTACACCTACTTGTCCTGAGGGGGAAAAAAAAAAAAAAAGTCAGTGGATTGAATTGACGTCCCTGTTTTTTCTCCTTTCTTCATATCGCTGTTTACTCTTGAGGAGAAAATGATTGCGCTTTTGTTGCCGCGAGCTGAAACATTTTGCACTTCGGGGCCTTTTCAGCAATATCTGCCGATGATTTATGTCACGAACTGCCGAACGTAAAAGTGAGCTGCTGTTCTTTGATGTTAACGCAAAAGCTGGGAGTAGAATAAAATAAAAAAAAATAAATTTAAAAAAATTTTACACATCGAGATCAAGTAAGAGTGAAACACTGTGAAACGCTTCTTACCAAAAGGGTAACAAGCTAATTCATCTCCCCAGCTCTCAGCTGAATAATTAACACCATGTCTGAGCCCAGGAATATCATTCTGCCTGTCCCACGATCAGCGCAGAGGATACAGAAAGGTGCAAGGCAGGGTTAATAATTGAAGACTGTAATTTATCTTTCTGCACTTGTTTCTAGCTTTTCAGGCAAAGCGTCTGCCGGCAGTGCTCGTAAAACGACTAAACACATTTATCCTCTGCAGGAAAGCCTATCAGTTATTCCACAAGCAGAGGCCTTTGTCTTGATAATGAAGGCAGCACATGGTATAATGTGAAGGCTTTCATTTCAGTCTGAAATGGCAGCTAGAGAGCCAATCAGCATCTTTGTACAGGGACTCTTTAGTGCCCAAAATATGTGAATTTGTATCCTCATGTAACACTCTTCCTCCTCTTCTTACGGAAAACATCCAGGGACGTTATTGACAGTCATTGCCGGGGCTAGAACATTCCCAGGTTGCATTGCTAAAATCTTATCTATTTTAAGATTGTTAATAATTGGTCAAATAATCCTAAATGTTAACTATTTATAAGATCCGTCAAGATTTATCGCAAAACAAGCGCAAACAGAACCAATTTCTATTTATAGCCCAAATGTCTCACCCTTGTTGACTCCACGCTGGATCATAACATTTCCAAAACATCGCCTGGTATAAGCTTTAACTGTAAATGTCTGCCTTTTTTTTTTTTTTTTTTTTTCCACAGATGCACAAAGCTCTCCTCCAGGGAGGAGGTCTTATTGTCTGCTGTGTTGCCAAAACTTTAAGGCAGTTCTTCTCTTCTAGTGGCGAGGCAAAGTCTTAAAAGTTATTCGATGCCTGATCTGTTTTCTCTGGACAGATGGGACCCATCATGACTAAGAAGGGCTTGTTCAAAACAAAGTGACCCTAATTGTTGTTTATTTTTAAAAGGAATCTTTTATTTGAAACCACATTTATTTAAGAGTAAGCTTCAAGTGCAACTCATGATGGACTTAGATTAGATTACTTTAAGACACTCTCAAGTTAATTTGTCACAGCTCTGTATAGCAAAAGCTATTTTTTTTGCAGTCTTAAATAAGCAGGAGTTTTTATTGTTGAAAGTCTAATATCTACTGTATAAGTATAAAAACACTGTCAGGCATCTTATTTACAAACTGTTTAATAAGAGTCTTTGTGCTTAACGCTCTTATTGTGAAGGTTTAGAAGAAGTCGCATCTCATGATGTATCAGTTCAGTTTCTGTTCTTGGTGGCTGCAACGTTTCCGCTTTCATCTTTTCATTCGAGTTCAGCTTTAATTATAGTTTCACTTTATAACAGCAACACTAAATGCAAGACATTTTAACATCCTTAACTGTTTCATCCCCTAATTCAAATTACAATTCATACACAAATGGACACGCAGTGTTGTGTTTACACACATAGTTGCTTTCATCAGTCACAACAGATGTGATGCACTAAGAAGGGTGAAAGTCCCATCTATCCACAGAGAACGATTTTATAGGCCCTTTACGACACAGTGTTGATTCATGTTGGGTTCTGCGTAGGGGAAGTAGAAAGTCTGAGAGTGACGGTCAGTTTAGCGAGTTCACACTCGCTAGTTTTCTCGGAGCAGGTGCGATAAATTGGGAATGTAACCGAACTCTGCGTGACCCCATTGAAGGGAGCTCAATGCTCTTTTAGCAGTAGCTAAGGTACAGTGACCCATCTACAGGAAAACCGCTGCGTCTGCTTTCTGATGTTTTAAGACCAGCATGTCCTGAGACCAAATATGGGACAGGAGTTTTTATCAGATTTAGCCTCGAGCCACACTTCAGTCACACAAACAATGACTGACTTAGACTCTGTAACAGCAGCAAACTCCTGTTTCTAATGAGGCAAATATAGAATTTGAAAAACAATAACCTAAAGCACTGCAGCGCTATTGGCTGACTGAAAGGCGTGATGTTTATTTGACTAATTTTTCAATGACATGAGATTAAAATAAACCTTTGTTTATAGACTTGGATTTGACGCGAATAATTTGAGACTTGCTTTGAACTGACTTGAACTTTCCCTTCAAAGACTTGAGACTCTGTCAGGTCTTATGGCAAATAACTTAAAATTTCACTTGGATTTGGGGGAAAAAAAAAAAAACAAGAATAAAAAGTTAGACTTTACTGAGATTTCCCCCATCAAAGACTTCAGATTTTCTAGTCAATGACTTTAGAAATAAAGCTTAAGTTGGATGAGTGGATGGGAAGTAACGTGACTTGAGCTTCAAAAACCTGAGACTTGATTTTGAATGGGGGGGAATTTTGCTTATTAATGTCTCTGCCTAAAACTCAAATGGTTTTCAGTCTTTCGATCTGCATAACCCCCTATCTTAGATTTTTTTTTTTTTAACACACACTGATGTAAACACACCGTGTTTTTCTTGCCTGTTTTTTCTGCAGCTACTGTTTATTATCCAATAACCCTCTATTTTAGCTTTTAATATGTCATATAAATCCAATTTTCTGTGTAATCACCACATGCAATTACTGTCCAATTACTGTATAGTTTTTTCTTTCTCTCTCTCTCTTTTTTGCCAGGTGCACATATGCTGTGCTTTATATAATTATCTGTGGGCAGTAACTCATGCTTTAACTTGCTGGGCAGATTTCCTTCTGGCATTTAAATGCTCACTTAATTACACACCAGGTGCATTTTCTTATTTTGTGTACTTAGTGCACCACCCCACTGTGACAAGTGAATTTTCCTTCTGCAAAGACTAAAAACAGGATCTTTTTTGACTGGCTTTAATGTAGCAAATCAGCACTAAACGGTGTCTGAGCGAGCAGGTCGTATGTTAACGTTATGTGGCAGCGCACACAACCCACGGGTGTTTTGCTGGTGTTAATGTCGGCGTTTGAGCCGCACAGATTTTTGAGGCTTTGGCCCGACGGCTGGGCCGTAAAGACAACTGCGAGGATTGAAAGTCTTCAGTTTTTAACTTTAATCTGCAGAAGTGTACAGACGTTAACCTCTGCGACATCGCAGCACTTTCATTTTATGGTCGCTTTTGGAAACATGTAACAGCAGATGTTAACACTCGTACTCGGCACTATCAGCTGAACCAATTACCCAGGGCACATGTTGGCAAGAAATGTAAGCAGAGCCAAAGTGTGGTATTTTTATACATTTTTTTTTTTTTGCAGTTTTTAATCCTTTGTTCAGTTTAGAGTCTCTTTGTACCCTTTTTTTTTTCTCCCCCCTCACTAACAGTGTTTTATCTGGTTGTCTTCCAGCTGCTGAGTCGGTGAGAACATGGTCATAAGATGAGGAGGCTGGCGACCGCAGGCTGTGGCGCTGGGTGTCGTGGTTAGCAGCTGCCGGTCCTCTGTGACCTAAACTGTGCTGCGGAATTGCCTCTGGGAATAATCGGATGAAGCGTTCAAAGGAAGAACAAAGCGGAGAGGTTTGAGCGGCAGTAGGCAAGACTTTAATCGATGCATTGCATCAGATGACCATAAAAACACCAGCTGGAGATTAATGCTGTTAACTCCCCCCGGAGCCTGAGTTTGTTTGGCTTGTTAACGGGTTTTTGGGCTCTGGGGCAGTTTTTTTTTTTTTTTTTTTGTCCTGTACAACACTCTTCACACCAAGTCATGCTGACTCTGTTAAAGTCCCATCTGGTTTAGAAACACGACTAGCAAAAC